CCTCCTATACCTTTTATTTACAAGTCACCACCTCCTCCAACACAACCAACTCCTCCCTCAACACCTCCATCACCATCTTCCTCCTCGTCTCCCCACATTTCTAATTCACCACCACCACCTTCATCAGCTCCACCACCTTCTCTCTCCCCTCCTCCTCTTATTTACAAGTCACCACCTCCTCCTGTACTAACAACTCCCCCAACACCTCCATCGTCATCCTCGTCTCCTCCCCATATTTCTAAGTCACCACCACCATCTTCCATCTCCCCTCCTCCTCCTACACCACTAACTCCTCCCTCGTCACCTCCATCGCCATCTTCCTCCTCGTCTCCTCCCCATGTAGCTAAGTCACCACCACCATCTTCATCATCTCCACCACCTTCCCTCTCTCCTTCTTCGCCTTCTATTTATAAGTCACCACCTCCTCCTACACAAATAACTCCTCCCCCATCACCTCAATCGTCATCTCCTCCTCGTCTCCTCCTCATGTTTATAAGTCACCACCATCCACATCATCTCCACCTTCTATTTATAAGGCACCACCGCCTCCTTTATTATCTCCTCCCCCCTCTTTGTCATCTCCACCGCCACATTCAATATCACCTCCTACTTACATTTATAAGTCTCCTCCACCGCCATCTTCAATATAACCTTCTCCTTATATTTATATATCTCCACCATTATCTTTATCACCTCTTCCTCCTTATATTTACAAATCTCCACCATCACCACCTTCTCCCTCGTCTTTCCCTCCATATAATTACATGTCACCTCCACCACCTTCTCTTTCTCCTCCAACACTTTACAACTCTACATCTCCTCCCCCACCATCACGATCACCTCTTCCCCCTTACATTTATAAATCTCCACCAACTTTCTCCTCTCCTCCATCATCGTCTCTATTACCTTCTCCTCCTCCTTATGTCTATAAATCTCTATCACCACCTCCTTATATTTACAAACCTCCTCCATCACCATTTACATCACCTCCACCTCCTCTTTACTTGTCTCCACCACCATCATCTTTGTCACCACCATCCTCTTATCTTTATAAATCTCCACCACCACCTACACTCTCCTCTTCCCCTCCTTACATTTGTAAGTCTCCACCATCCTTATCTCCATTTCCTCCTTTCGTTTATAAATCTCCATTGCCACCAACACCATCATCTTCATCACCGCCTCCTCCTTGCATTTTAAAGTCACCATCGTCCCCATCATCACCTTCTCTTTGTAAATCTCCACCACCACCTATCCCCTTCTCTCCACCTCCTTCCATTAACAAGTCTCCGCGACTACCAATATTATTATCTCCGCCACCTCCTTCTTCTTATGTCTATAAGTCCCCTCCACCACCATCCCCTTATATTTATAAATACCCACCACCAACACCACCTATCTCCTCCTCTTCCCCTCCTTCCATTTACAAATCTCCACCACCCTCCTCTCTATTTCCTCCAAATATTTATAAATCCCCACCACCACCACCACCTTCTTCATCATCTCCTCCTCCTCCATTATCTTCGACACCAAATATTTCATTACCCCCTCTACCCCCTCCTCACTTTTACAAATCTCCTCTTCCTTAAATTTATAAACGTTCATCTTCATCTCCATCATTGCCACTCTCTTATGTCCATTAATCTCTTCTTCTCTTCTCTGGTCGTTGCCTCTCTCTTCTTCATCTCTTCTTCATCAATACCTCACCTTTACATTCGCAAGTTTCCACCGCAAGTTTCCACCGTCACAGTCTCTTATCACCTTCTCTTGATTACCATTGCAATTCCCCTTCGTTACCACCTTCCTACCGACACTAACTCCCTCCATTTTCTGTATCGGATTCCCCATCATATTCCTAGAACTCTCTACCACATTATCATAAAATTGGCTTACAAGTCAAAGCTTCACACTACTCCTATCTCGACAGTCCATGAGTGCGTACTTCTACATGAGGCTCTTTATATCTATTCCCAACATCGTTATGTCGTTAAGTGTTTAGTTTTTGTTGCAGTGAAATGTACGAGTGAATAAGAAAAGAATCCAATGATTTCTTAAAAGAGTCCTCACTCTTAACACTCAGCAAGCACGGTTTTCATATTCTTTTTACCAGCAATAAAGAAGCAGACGAACTCAAATATTTTAACATTTCTTAACCAAAGAAATCAACAAATGTAACCTGTGCCAAATCAATCTATTACCACGACTACTATGTATTAGAACGCACAAGTAAACTGCTGCTAATGTACACTAGAAAAGGGAATCAAATGGTCAGCGATCGAACCAGCTCCATTTATTGTCTCAACCAATCCGGGAGGGAAGTGATGTCGGCACTGCTGGCCGCTGACGATGTAGGAGAGCGAGGCCTGCATGAAGCGCCGACGGCCATGGCTGTGGCGGCAGAGGGGGCGGAGGCGGCGCAGAGATGGGGCCATCCTCGTCGATGCCATGGAAGAATGGGTCATTGAGGAGTTCCGAGGCGGAAGGTCGAACCCGTGGCCTGCCGAGGCACCGCTCGATGAAGGCCGTAACCTCCGGGTCCTTGACCTTCGCCATGGCTGCCGGCCTCACCCCGGTCGTCACCTTCCGGTAGATCTTGGCGACGTTGTCGCACTCGCTGTAGGGGATCTCGCGGGTCACCATCTCCAGCACGCTCATTCCGAAAGAGTAGATGTCCACCAGCTCCGTGTACTCCTCCTCGTACATCTCCGGCGCCATGAACTCCGGCGTCCCCAGTACGGAGTGAGCCGCGTGGCTCTTCTCCACGGCTGCAGCAAGCCCTAAATCCCCAATCTTCACCTGTAACAATATTAAGATAAAAAAAAGTCAGCTTTTTTCGGTGCGGCGAACTTAAAGAGGAATTCTTTATAGAATCATATAATCCAAAAAACAAATCAAAAAACAATTTTGTATTTCCTCAAACGGAGGATAAATAAAACAGTTGGAAATGTAAAGACTCGATCGTGTTCTATACCCAAAAAATTCATCTTCCTCTAACCACATCCGAAAAAGAAGCAAACAGATGAACACCGGATAAAACAAATTCCTACCTTTATGCCAAAGGGATAAAAACTATTGCGAATGTGGATAAGATAACGACGATACAGTAGTTTTTTCGAGAGATGATCGCGATGGAAAGGTGGGAAAAAAAATCCTAAATTTACCAATTTAAATCAAGAAAATTTCAAGAGAAACAAAATTCTGTACCAATTCACCAAACAATGGGGAAAAAGTTAAGAAGTGGGGGATTTGACGCGTACTTGGCCAACATTGCCATTAATGAAGACGTTGGAGCAATTGAGGTCGCGGTGAATGATGCAGGGTTCACGGTTGTGGAGGTACTCGAGGCCCAACAGTATCTGGCGTGACCACTTCTTGAGGGCCTTCAGCGACACGTGGCGGTGCCGATTCCGGTACTCACGGAGACTGCCGGAGTTGCAGAACTCGGTGATGAAGTTGAGCGTGCTACGTCCGTCGTCGTCCGTCCACACGTCGTGGAGCGCGATGAGGTTGTCGTGCCGCAGCGACTGCAGCAGCCTCACTTCCGCGAAGATCCGGTCCTGCATCTGCTGGTCATGAACGAAGCTACGAAGACGGACCTGGTTCCACGCCACCTCGATCCCCTCCTCCTGATCGAACCCCCGGTAGACCCGCTTCACGGCGCCGGTCCCAAGCAGGTCGTCGTACCGCCCGTATCGTCCCGTGGGGTCCATCTCCACGAACGGCTCCGCATCCATGGCCGCCGGATCAGGTCTCACGAACGGCATCCCGATCAAAAAAAGAGAACCCTTGACTTTTCACTCTTCTTTCACGCCTCCCAGCCGTTCGACCAAAAAGCCCGAACGCGATGGGGATCCCAAGAAGAGATCGGACGGAGTCCTTCGATCAGATGAAAACCAGGACGAAACAGATCACGAGGAAATACGAGGTTCTTGATTCTTTGAGGTATTGATTAGTCGAAGCCATCGAAGATTCAATCAGCAGAGCTACAAAAACACATGAAGAACCCCAAACAAAGAAAGAACAGATCAATAGAAAGAACAAGATCACAGCTTAGGAACAGAATCCCCATGGCGATGGGGAACTGCTTCGAGAAGCAAAAGCCCCGCATAATCTTGACATGAAACGGAAAGAACAGGGAAAATTAAAGCACCAAAGGGAGCGGCCGGGATCGGTACCTTAGGACTATCATCTAGAGCAGAGCGGGGCGGCGGAGAAATCAAGACGAGGGAGGAAGCGGCTCGCGGTGGAATCCTCGCAGAGGCGGTGCGGAGAGCGTTCCACCTGGGGATGCGGGAGAGGTAGAGCGCAGCCGATTGCTTATATACGGGCGGGCGGTAGGGAGTCCCACGGCAGCCGGTTCACCCGCATCAAATCACGAAGACGTCTTCCATGCGTATTCGGTCTCGTTTCCAATTCCACTTACAGCCGTCCACCTCAAGCCTTGATACTGACAATCGCAAAACCGACTCTTAAAGAATGACGTGTATTTATTACTTCCGTTACTTGGTGTCTAACAAAACTTCTGCTCTTGCACGGGATCCAAACCCAGTTCTTTCACTTGAACTTGATCGAGTCGTTGAATGGATATCTTCCTTTAATTACATTAACATTAATTTAGATATTGGCTTCGCATGAAGGAAGCACAACGTGGTGACACCATTGCTGCAAAGGGATGCATTGACTTTTGACTCCGCCTGACAGTGGATGTCAAACAGATTGTTTTGTCTTAGCTGGTCAAATATTTTATGATGTGTATCAAAGTTCATTTTTGTCACAGGGCACAATCACATTAATGCTAATCACATTTTATTGTAGTTATGAATAATGTTGAAAGCCACTTGGCATAATCACAACTAATTAGTGCACAATAATGTTTTTCTACTTTGACACGTGTAAAATAAAATTCAGGATCTGCTGTATGTGGAATTGCATATTACAGCATTATGTGACGACGTGGAAGATTTCTAGTGGTTGGAAAATGCGGGCCAACATAACTGAGGACGGTTCAACCGGTGTCGTTCCACCGGCAGTGCCGGTCGTCCCATTGACGAGTTGGAATCCACCCTCTTATGGTTCTGTCCGCCTGTCCCTGCCTGCGGCCTTGAGAAAGGAAAAGGAGAGAGAGAGAAGAGAGAGAGAGAGACAGCGAGGGGTTCTGGTGCAAACCCTAATCCCTTTCTTCGACCGTCTCCTTGCTCCTTCTCCCTTTTCTCGAAGTCTTCCTCCGGCCTTCCTGCAGTCCTTTTCCCCGGAGATGCAGCTCCATCTACGCGATCTTGCTGCAGATCACCCGGATTCGTCCCCCTTCTAGGTTGGAGGTGAATTCTGCTTATAGGGTTCTAGATTACTTATTTCTTGTTCTGATTTAGCGTGCACCGTGTTAGATGTGGGTGAATCGTCCATCTTGGACTTATACTGGTGCCTTCATCTGTTGAACTTTAAGTTTCCCCTTCTGTCGGTGCTCTTGTTGGTTTTTGTTCAGATCAGGATTAAAGATTCCAGAAATGTGTATCGTCGTTCCTGAAGAATGTGATTTGGCTGATTTCAGGGGCAAGATTGCATTTTTTGGCGCTACGTAGTGAAAATTTTCGCTTCTTGGAAGGGGACGTTCGTTTTCATGCTTTTGTACATAAATCCTTTTAGCGTTTTAGTTTGACGTTTCATTTGTTTATTGGTTCTAACAATTCGAACATAAACGCAATCATGCATGTTTGTTTTGTTTATATTGTGTAGACAGATGCATACTTCGAACATAACAATTTGACTGATATGTGGAGCAAGATCAGATCTTGGTGCCACTAATTGGGAAAAAGTTGCCTTCTTGAAGTGGTTTAGTTTAATGTGTGCTTCTTTTGACGATTTAGAAAAGATTTTCAGATCTGCAAGTGATGCAGTCGTGCTGATCAAGTTCTTCTAATGACACAGGCTAAGTCTTAAGAGAAAACTAAACAGTTATAATGGGTACTTCTTCGGGTGCAAACCACCATCATCACCAACCACCACTACCTATGCTACCACCACGACAGCATCCAAGATCTGCAGGACTGCAGACGTCCCTGTCCCTTGCTTCATCAGACCCTGCAGCATCACTTGACACCCAAGAACCAGGATCAAACTCTGACCAAGGGCAGGACTCACACACTGAGAGCGCCAGCTCTCGTGAGACCTGGCCCATTGAGACAAACCGTTCTGATGCCATTGCAGTAAATAAAGTAGACAAGGAAAAGGAAGGAGAGAATGAAGTCGCTGAACTGCAGGTCGTTCGGAGGATTTCCAATGCAAACAGGCTGTCACTTCATGAAGTTGCTCGAGACAGGGTTGAGGTTGTCTCTGAGAAAATGAAGGTTATGCCAGATGAGCTTCTAGAGGAGCTTAAAACTGAACTTCGGGTGATTCTTGAGGGTACAGGGGGTTCCCATCACATAGAAGAGTTTTTGTATCTCCAGAAGCTTGTGCAGGGGAGAGTTGACCTGACAGCTAAATCCCTTGCTACTGCTCATCATGTGCAGCTCGAAATTCTTGTTTCTATCAATACAGGCATTCAGGCCTTTTTGCATCCGAGTGTCAGTGTTCCACAGGGTCGCCTCATCGAGGTTTTCTTGTACAAGAGGTGCAGGAACATCGCTTGTCAAAGTGTTCTTCCTGCAGATGAATGTAGCTGTGAGATATGTACCAGTAGGAATGGTTTCTGCAATCTCTGCATGTGTGTGATCTGCAACAAGTTTGATTTTGAGGTTAATACATGTCGCTGGATCGGATGTGATACATGCACACACTGGACTCACACAGATTGTGCCATGCGGGTTGGCCAAATTGGGACAGGTCAGTCTGTTAAGAGTGCTGTTGGCCATGCTGAGATGCTTTTCAGGTGCCAAGCATGCCACAGAACATCTGAGTTGTTAGGATGGGTTAAAGATGTGTTCCAGCAGTGCGCTCCTGGGTGGGACCGAGAGGCCTTGATGCGGGAACTCGACTTTGTTAGTAAGATTTTTCACTTAAGTCAGGATCCTAAAGGAAGGAAATTATATCGGAAGTGTGGTGAACTCGTAGAGAAGTTAAAAGGTGGGATACCTGAGTCCATGGCTTGCAGAATGCTCCTTCTCTTCTTCCAAGGTATGGGGCAAAACTATTCTGTATACGAGTAAGTACACACTAAATATTAACTGCCAATTATCATATATTCTTTGAGGAAGTCGTTCCTACAATAACATGGCTGTGAAAATCAATCTCGAGATTGGCATCATTTGCAAAATCACTGAGTTCTGATGCATCCTTCAGTATGTATTTGAGCCACTGCCTTTCCATTTTATTCTCCTAGACCTCTTTTCTTTTTCAGAAACTCAGGAAACCCGCCGCTGGTTTTAAGTTGCCTCTTTTATGGCTATTGCAGAGCTTGAATTAGATTCACCAAAGAATTCTGAAAGCGATGAAGTTGGGCGTCTGATTTCTCCACAAGAAGCTTGCAATAAAATTGCTGAGGTGGTCCAAGAAGCTGTGAGAAAGATGGAGATGGTTGCAGAGGAGAAAATGCGGATGTTCAAGCGGGCTCGTCTAGCTCTCGAAGCCTGCGATCGTGAGGTTGAGGACAAAGCCCGAGAAGTTCAGGAGCTAAAAATGGAGAGGCAGAGGAAAAAACAGCAGGTGGAGGAACTAGAGAGCATCATCAGGCTTAAGCAGGCTGAGGCTGAGATGTTCCAACTAAAGGCCAATGAGGCCAAGCAGGAGGCTGAGAGGCTGCAGAGCATTGCATCAGCCAAATCGGAGAAGGCTGAGGACTATGCTAGTATGTACTTGAAGCGTCGTCTAGAGGAAGCAGAAGCTGAGAAGCAGTATCTATACGAAAAGATAAAGCTCCAGGAGAGCCAGCGTGCTCCACCGGGGAGCAGCAGTGGCGGAGGTGGCAGCGGTGACCCTGCACAGGCTCAGATGCTAAACAAAATCCAGGACTTGTTGAAGAATGTGTTCAGTGTGCCTCCTAAGAAAGAAGGGCAGCAATCCAAATGACCTATTGCTGATTGCCTGTGGGGTTCTAGTGGTTCTTATGCTATCTATGTTGTGATGTACAACCAAGGACTGTTTAGATTACCAACTGGATGTTGCTGGAATATGGATACAGTGGCTTATTTGAACCAAACTCGGTATTCATATAATATGGTGAAGTTTGTCTTGTGTTTGTACTAAAGTCTTTAGATTAAAAGTGTCTTTGGTTGGCCTTCGGATCATGATATAATGTATTTGAAGCAGTAACACCACCTTGATCAAGACAATCAATCTCCCTCATGTTGAAACAAGTTTGTACATCGCAACAATTTTTTTTCTTTTTAATTTCAATAAAACAAACTTGTACTGGTAGTTTATCATCTACATTTTGGAGAATACTGATACTTCCAACTTATGGGGCAAACACAAGCATTTGTCACATCTGTATATTTGGATACCCCTCTAAAATCAATCTAATTGCCATGTTGCAGTTGTGGAAACATGAAGATTACGCAAGAATGATGGGTAAGGAAAGGAACGAGGAAACAACCGACATCACAGTACAATCCATCACCTACTGGAATACACTAAACTATTTCATCATCTGCTCTCTGTTCTGCTGCCACCACAGGATAGAGAGATGGAAGACCCTGTGCATCCAGGCCGATGTGATGTCAACTCCCTTCAGCTCTCAATACTTGTGCTGCTTCCTACTTCCACACACGCCCTCTTTGAGAGATCGAGCTCTCTTGTTCTTGGCAGCAACAGCACACACCCTGCACATTGTGGTCCAACGTCTTTAATGTTTCAGTTCAATTACTTTGATATGTAGGCAAGCCATTGCATGGGGAAATGCACCATTTTCTCAGGTAGATATCAGCATAGGGATGTGTTCCATGCCTTTACCTGGGATCGTTCCACTTCCTCAGCAGCACGCAAGCTTCAGTTTTCTTTTACCTCTTATTTAAGGTCCAAATAATTAGCTTCGTTTAAAGCCACTTACCATGGAAACAGGAGAGGAGATCAGGTGAGATTTAATGTGTTGTCTTGTGATCATGCCCTCTCGAGCATCAACTCAAACTACCAATTCAAGTGCAATAAAGGGTGCAACACACGACAGATCCTTTATCACAGGAAGAACACCCTCTCCTTAGATGAAATATACAAAGCATCAGGTTCTCAGTGATGCAGTTTAACGCAGCACTCTCAGGATCATTGACCTCTCAAACCTGGTTTGCCTGTTGCATTCATCTGCCTGCTAACTAGTGGAGGAGACTTAGGGTTTCCGGGGACTTGGAAGACTGGAGCTTCGGAGGAGGTGCTTGTGGCGCAGACGGTAGCGGCGTTTGCATGCACTTGCAGTTGGGGCATGAAGGAGATGACTTGCATAGCATGACGAGGAGGTGGCAGTTGACGCAGACCACCGCGGCCATGCTGCCACATGAACTGTGCTGCTTCTTTGCTTCCTCTGGAGTTGTCGATCTCGAGTTCGGCGCCTCTTCTGAGCTTGAGAAGGTGGAGATGTTGAGCTCCAAGTCCAGGTTTTGTTCCTTGGGCCTGCTCCAGCTTCTCTTCAGGGTTTTCCTGTTCATGTAGTAGATCCTCCCAGTCTGCCATTCATCAATTTAGAGAACGTCAGAAGAAAGGCAATACTGTATGTAACAGTTCATCTAATCAGAGAGAGAGAGAGAGAGAGAGAGAGAGGAGGA